AAAAAATAAATAAATAAAAAGGCCCCAGCATTGCTGGATCATCTAAAATCAGGCCTTTATATGAGAAAAGATTAAATAACTCACAGCTATCCTGTCAAAATACACTGAGAGCAGCAATATAAAAAATGCAGTTTGTGTACAATTTCTTTAAATGCAACACTTAAGTTGCTACTGAGAAAAAGTTGTAAAAGCTTTGCATATTGCTGTTTTTCCAGGTCCCTTATAGATATGGAATTATGAGAAATACGCAAAAAAATCAATAAAAACTCTTTGATTTGCTCTTTCATGTGTAGCTCATGCACCGTTTCCCAAAAGCCTCTGCAACTCCAACTCCCTTAGATACTTAATTTCACTCCACATTTCACTTGTACATTTTCCTTGCTGTCAGTAACTGATGCTGAAGGCATTAAACTTAAGTTCAGGTTAACACGTGGCATGTGCTGTATATTTCAGCCTCTTCCCAGCGACATGTGATTTCTATCAGTGATAAAACCTTGCGCATAACCTCAACATCACTCCTGACCTGAAGGGGAATGAAGCTGAAGTCGCCAGAAGAAGCGTAGGGGTCTTTAGATTTAAATCTATAGCTCATGTCAAGAAGGTGAATAGCAGATTGTTTGGGCACACTATCTAACACTTGGAGGATTTCAAGGATTGGAGGACAGAGTCTTCAAAAGAACAATTGAAGGCCAAATGCTTTTCACACTCATGTGATTGGATTATTATGGTGTGAGTGATGCATGGGCTCAGATTGGAAGTAAATGAAGGCATAATAATTAATTATGGCAAAGAGGCAAATTAAGAGGTGGCCAAAGTCAATTTCATGGCCTCTGACTATCAACCGCCAGTGAAGCCAGATGTGGGGGGGAGCAGCTTTGAGAGGAAGACCTCCGCATCCTGTACTGCTCCCACCCACAACCTGGCAGACGATGAAGGGACAGTGATTGGCATGAAGGCTTCGAATCTGTTCCAGCTAGTTTGTGAATGCAGGTTTTCCGTGTAATGTTGTGTTTCTGAATTTGCAATTTTCCAAAACAATAATTAAGTCACAAAATCCAAGATGTCAAGGACAAGTTGGTTGAACATTTTTAACACTACTTGAAGGGTCATAACAGTCATAAAATATTCAGAAAAGGCCAAAACACATGATTTTTTATTATACCATTTTCTAATTATGTGCGCCTTAAAATATTGACCGTGGTGAGAATAATACCAAAAGTGGTGCTCAATGAATTGTATCCTAAGCATGAACTCCGTCTGCCCTTAGTTACTGTCTCAGATAACTTATTGACAATTAATCACAAATACATATGTACACATATACTTGATTTTGATATTGTAGAGGATGGCTCATTAAGTATACTACCTAAATGATGGACCATTACCCGGCACAAAACAAAATAGGGGGAGGTTTTCTGTGTGCATCATTCACATATACACACATGTAAATGCAAAAAGAGCTCATCAGGAAGAGCAGCCATGTGGGAATACCAGGGATTGTTAGTTTTCCCATCTCCGAACTTTACTTTCCTTTCCTCCCCCTGTCACTGTTGACAAGAGGGGATGGCGTGATTTGTTCCCGTCATTCAATAGTAATAACATTTAGGACGTCCTTTGTTTTGTCTCTGCTGGTGGGAGGAATGCTGCAGCAAGGGATGAGGTGAATGTCAGAGTGGTAGAGATAATTGACATTCATCAAGTCGGTGTGGTGTTAAAAGGGAATAAAACGTGAGAGAGCCTCTCTCTTGCACCTCTGTGTGGAGAGATTGTTGACAGTGGTATTTTGTGTAGGAAGGCTTTGGATGATGAAATAATCACCACAGCATTAAGTAATACAGCAATTTCAACTTTAACTAGTTCAGATCCGATTTACCCGTGTACTGTTAAATTTTGTGTTCATCTGAGTTATACATCTATATAAACAATTGAATCAGTCATTACTTGTTTTATAACCAAATGTTTCATTCATCAAGCCACTGTCATTCAAGCATTCTTGCACACACAGAAAACACAACTTTAAGTTACCTGTCTCGACGTCTTGGGCGTAGAAGTGCAGGGTGTCGCAGATTTCGGTGACGTATACTGGTCTGTAGTTGGCCACTCGCTCCTTCTCCTCGGATACATGCACAACCTCCTCGACTGGTTTCTCCTCATAATTGGCCCAGATCTACAATACACAAACAGGTCAGTGAATAAAACAAATACCAGACCTCTACAATATAAACATGGTGCTTAAGTACTTTAGCTTATTATAGTATATTCCTTGCTTCAGATATTTTTTTGAAAAACCCATATAAATAAGAACAATAGATTGTGTGTGATAGAACGTGACAGAAACAGATGAACAGAACAACAAGGGAGACCATAATATCAGGCTGACATACCAGGCATGGTAACATATTACTTGAGCATCGTCAAATCAACACTCTCATTCTCAATCAAACCACTCATTAACTTGGGCAAAACTCAAACTTACGATGCTACCAGCATGTTAGACAGTCTTTTGTTTCTACCACAGCTTTATGAACCACCATGATGGTACAAAGATGTTTCAATTCAGAGAAGATAGTTATAAAGATTCTGTGTGTGACAGTCTTATCAACAGAGGATATTATTAATAATAAAAGTAATATATCAACATTCCCCACTGATGAAGTAATAATGGCTGTCATAGAATTGGAATAATACTCATGGTAGAGAAGTAAAGGTAAAGAAGCCAAATTATAACAGGTTGGACTCAAAGAAAATATAAACACTGTTAGAATTACAATATAGCTGAAACAATTAATTCATAGATTAGTTAATCAATAGAAATGTAATTAGCACCTATTTTAATAATTGTTTCGAGAAACAGTTTGAGTCAGTTTCAATGAAAATACCAAACATTTACTGGTTCAAGCTTATCAAAAGTGAGAATTTAATCATTTTATTAGTTATCTAGGATAATTAACTGAATATCTTTGGGTTTTGAACTGTTGGTTGGATAAAACAAGTGATTTGAAGATGTCACATTGAGCTCTGGCAAATTATAATGAGCCTTCTTCACAAGATATAATCAATAATGAAAATAATTGTCAGCTGGAGCCCTGAATTGCAATTAGTCAAAAATGTGAGTATTATTACAAGAAATTAGCTTTTGTTCATAATTGAGAGTGTGTTCTTGATAAAATGTGACAATGATTGATCTCAATGATTGTCTAATCATTTCCAGTGATATGGGGTGGGTGGCTACACTTTGCTTGTGCTGCTTGTGCACAAACAAGACGCATGGGACTCAACTATGGATTCTGTGGACAAGTCAGGCCCATCAGTTTCACTTGTCCTTCACATGTGAGATTGGACGTGAGATTTAGACCTTCACAGTATGGCAGCTTTGTAAAGGGACAACACTTTGGCTGGTTGTCACTTCTTCAAGAGGCTATCTTAGGGTTCAGTCTTGGGTTAAGGGATAAAGATTAGGGTTGAGGTTAGCCATGTAGTGTGGGTGATAACATGAGTTTGGGAATAATGTAGTCAGTGAGGTTCCTCATAAGCGTGTGTGTGTGTGTGCGTGTGCGTGTGCGTGTGTGTGAGAGAGAGTCACTGTGAGTCACACACTTCCTCTGAATGACTGCTGATGGTCTGAGTTTGGCTCCTGTTGGAAAATAAATCACATTCCACCTCTGAAAGCAACACTAAAAGCTTCCTGTGGGTTGTTTTTGCCTTTATTCCGTGCAGTAGTTTAATGGTTGGTGGTCAATCAAACAACTGATGCTGGTGAGGTATTATGAGTTTTATGTTGCCAGTTACGAGTCTTTCTCTGTTTGTGCAGCACATAAATTTGTCCCCCGGGCTGTGTTGGTCGACCTGGAACCAGGAACCATGGACAGCGTGCGCTCAGGAGCCTTCGGACAACTCTTCAGACCAGACAACTTCATCTTTGGTAACAATCACCTGCTTTTATTCCACATGTTCATTTGTGGGTTCATGCAGTTTTATGTTTACAGGGTTGTTAGTGTGAAAAGACTCATAGGTACCTGAAAATAAGAATCGTTGTGTTACCTTAGAAAGAGCTGTTTTATCTACAGATGGAGCGGGTCGTGTTCTTCATAGAGCGCATTGCCTGCCCAACGCTGTTTACTTGGGTATTTTGTCCTTTAAAAAAGAAACAAAACTGTTTGTTTCTCCACTTAAAATCCCCTCTGACTGACTGACTGACTGACTTCTGGCCTGGTGCCACAGTGTTAATCTGCACGCTGTTTCTGCGTTTGACTTCCTGCCAGTGCGATCTGCTCTTGGTGGAATTTGGGGGTAACTGTGTCTGTTTGCTGCACAGTGCCTTTATCAGCCTAAAACAGCTGCTGCTGGAAACACTGAGACCGGACCAGGCAGGAAACATGCTGCGAAACCAAAACTAGGAGCTAGAACAGGCTAAAAAGCGAGATATCTCTGTGTTCCTCACTGTCAGAGATACTTTGTGTGGTTACAGAGGTCCGAGGAATCTTTCCAGCATTAAATTTGTACAGTAAACAGACTGAAATAACTCCAGCGTTTGTTTTATAAACTGATGTCTCAATAGGAGAAGAAGCAGGGAGGTTGTAGATCTCTCTGTCTGCCTCATACACACACAGAATGAAGTCGACTCGGTCCTCCGATCCGCCCGGCTGGGAAATGGGTCACCAGCCGGGCGTGTGTGTCTGCACGCACATTCCCATCTGCTGTGGCGATCATTTTACATTTCACAGATGGACTTTTGCTCTGTGCTGATTGGTTGTCTGCAGGTCAGACAGGTGCGGGGAACAACTGGGCCAAAGGTCACTACACAGAGGGGGCAGAGCTCGTGGACTCGGTCCTGGACATAGTGAGGAAGGAGTGTGAGCACTGCGACTGTCTCCAGGTGAATAACGGGTTTTTATCTTTCTATGTGTCTCATCAGTTGGGTTAAACTTCAGTAGATGGAACTTTATATACTTATATTTATTAGTATCATAGTCTCCTGTAATATTTTTACAATGGAAGAATTACCAATTGAGTCGGATTCCCCTTGAAATCAATGAAACGAGGCGGTACGCGCACTACCGCTTTTGTCCACAGGGGCCGCCAGAATCAACACACAATGAAAGCTCCTTGTTGCTGCTTTAAAAAAGAATTTTAGAGACCAATGCAATAAAAAAAGTTAAAGACAACAATAAAAGATAAGTAATTAAGATATTAAAAAATAGCAATAAAATCAATAAAAACTAATATATGTATTATAATAAAACAGTAAAGGAAGTTGACATTGCCCTGTTTTCAATTTTATATCAATCTTGAGACACAAACCGTTCTAAGGACTTTCATTTAACTTCTCCTGAGTATCCAGCCTCAAAACTAACCCTGTATGGCAGTCTAGTCATGTTTCTAATCTTGTTTGGGTTATAATTTGATCAGATTTCAATCAAAGCTCTTGTCTCACTGCTTGTATTTCTACAATATTTAACATATATGTATATATATAAAATGTTTTTGCCCAAAATAAGGGATCAAAAAAGTTTATTTTCAGGTATTGTTTCATCATTAGAACAGTAAATCTACAGTTTCATTGAGATGAGATCTTCACAGTAATGACATCAGTGCCAAATAACATAAAACACAATACAGAAGTATCTGAGAACCAAGCCTGACCCTGCATCTACGTTACTGTCATGTTTCTCATCCCTGTTTGCTGTAATTCTGCCTTCAGGGTTTCCAGCTCACTCACTCCCTGGGAGGGGGCACCGGCTCCGGCATGGGCACCCTGCTGATCAGCAAGATCCGAGAGGAGTACCCAGATCGGATCATGAACACCTTCAGCGTCATGCCCTCACCTAAGGTATCAGGAGGAGGGACCAGTTAAATACAAAATCTTTCTTTCTGCTTTTTTATCCTTCTCTTCTACAACTCAATCATTCTCCCAGAAACCCTTTCTTATGGTCTGTGAAGTTTGTTTTTATTCTCACTGGAGCAACTTGCCTTTGAACTTTAATGAATTCTACAAATGAAATTGCAACTATTTTTAGTTCATTACCAAAAAATGCCTAAAAACATTGCAACATGCATCACAGTCTTTTAGAAAAGCTGCTGTGAAATCAGGCTGCAAAGTGGGCGTTCTTGTACCTCAGTGTGCTCTACAGGAACATCTGACCTCTGACATCTGTCTGGTTTTTCTGGTTTTCCTATTTTGCAATCATTGTGTTAATTCAGCATTATCCTGTATTTGAACTCCACAGACAAACAATTCTTTCACTTCTCCTCTCCTTCTTCTTTCTGTTCTCCGTCCCTGCGTCGCCTTTTTCCGTCCACATCTCTTCATATTTGATCTTTTGGTCCCTGCAGGTGTCTGACACCGTGGTTGAGCCCTACAACGCCACTCTGTCGGTCCACCAGCTGGTTGAAAACACAGACGAGACCTACTGCATCGACAACGAGGCCCTGTACGACATCTGCTTCCGCACTCTTAAACTCACGACGCCCACCTACGGCGACCTCAACCACCTGGTGTCGGCCACCATGAGCGGCGTGACGACCTCGCTCCGTTTCCCCGGGCAGCTCAACGCAGATCTCCGTAAGCTGGCCGTCAACATGGTGCCTTTCCCCAGACTCCACTTCTTCATGCCAGGATTCGCTCCTTTGACGGCCCGGGGGAGCCAGCAGTACCGAGCGCTCACAGTTCCCGAGCTCACCCAACAGATGTTCGATGCCAGAAACATGATGGCGGCCTGCGACCCTCGCCACGGGCGATACCTGACCGTCGCCACCGTCTTCCGCGGGCCCATGTCCATGAAGGAGGTGGATGAGCAGATGCTGAACGTCCAGAACAAGAACAGCAGCTACTTCGTGGAGTGGATCCCCAACAATGTCAAGGTGGCCGTCTGCGACATCGCTCCCCGGGGGCTTAAGATGGCCGCCACCTTCATCGGCAACAGCACGGCCATCCAGGAGCTGTTCAAGAGGATCTCTGAGCAGTTTTCGGCCATGTTCCGCCGAAAGGCTTTCCTGCACTGGTTCACGGGCGAGGGCATGGACGAGATGGAGTTCACAGAGGCGGAGAGCAACATGAACGACCTGGTGTCCGAGTACCAGCAGTACCAGGAGGCCACCGCCAACGACGGCGAGGAGAACTTTGAGGACGAGGAGGACGAGATTGTTGAGTAAGGAGACCGAACAAGACTGGTAAAACTCTGAGGGAACACTGGTAGAGCGACCATCCAGTAGTTACGAAACACTAAGACAAAGACGATAAAGTCAGTTTGAGTTTAAATAATTAACTCTTTCAATTTATTAAAACAAAGTCAAAATATTAAACATTTGTCACAACTTAAAATATTTCGTTATTATAATTAATACTTTCTGGATTGCTTTAACTTGAGAAAGACTTTTTACTTTGTTCCTACCTTGTAACAGTAATAACTTATTTTATTATTTTACAAGACATGTAATTGAATAATTCAAAACTTCATTAACTAATTAATCCAAATGAAAACAATTGTTAGCTGTGTTGATTTTTTGATTCTTAAAAATGTGTTCCACAATGGCTTATTTTGTCTTTTTGGCGAGTAAAAGGCTCAAGTTCATGGCAAACTTCAACCAATACAGTAATATCGTCGGATTGTCTGACCAACCGTCAACATTGGTTTCTTTAACAACTACAATCGTTCTCTAACTTTTAATCACTTCGTTTTTGTGCCTAAAGTTGGGCTCAAACTGCAGGAGTTTAAAAATCCTAGCCAACTTCAATGATCTTTTATTATTTATTATTTATTGTTTACGATTTTTTATTACGAACATGGAGGCTGATATAATGAAACAACTTGCTTCAGTAACATCAATGATTTAAAAGCAGAAAGAAAATAGTCTGGATGAGATAACCGTTGGGGTAGCGTTAATGCCATCAGGATGTTTCTCCCCAGCTCTTCTCTTTGTCCATACTTTAAATCATCTAGATTTTAACTTCTAAATATTAAACATGTTTGAAATGATTGGGGAAGCCCAGATGATTCTGCGAGCAGATCTGGAGGTTTACGATGGATCTATAAACCCTTCAAACCCCTCTGAACGTCAGGGCCAGATTTCTCCTTCGATTTTTCGGGAAGGATAAATCGGACTGAAACTCCTGTAGTATGAGCCTAAACCTAACCAAACTTCCAATCATAAATGGTGACAAATGACCCGTTTTATTGCATAAGTACGAGCTCTTGTTGGTCATAACGACGAACAATTCAATATGTTAACCAATACACAAAGTGGTAGCAGTTGGTACAATAATAATAGCGAATGTGCAAGTTAATATGTGCAGTAGGCATCACAAATGTACAAACCGACTGCGTCGTCATTGGAATCTGTTTATCAGTGTCTATCACTGACGTTAACCTCTTTAGCAGCCGCCATCGCTCTTTAACGAACAGCTCATATAATCTCGTACATCCTCAGAGGACACTGATTGGTTGGATTGGATTGAATCTTGGCAATGTTAATAAATGCACTGATATACACAAGTTGAAGGCATATTTAACTCTGATTATGTCTTTTCTAACAGACACGTGAGCCTGATCAAACCTTTTTGTACTGTATTGTGTTTGTTGTTTTCAGACTGTGATTTTTGTACAAGTGAGCACGTCTAGAGTGGCTGAAGAGAGGTTGAAATAAAAGCTTCTTTCAAGGCCTGACACTGTTATATGTCTACTGTGTTTGTGATCTGTGTGTTCGACTGGCTCTATCCCTGCTGCTGCATATTTATGTTATACATGAAGTGTTTGGCACTTTGCTTATGACTGTTATTAGAACAGTTTTTAGCCCCCTCTGATAGAAATGGCTTTAGCAGCGTTGGTCTGCCACTTTGGTGCGGACTGAAATACCTCAACAAATATCAGATTGTCATGAAAGTTCATACAGACATTCATGGTTCCCAGAGGATGAAGCCTAAGACTTTGGCGATCCTCTGACTTTTCCTAATTTATGAGAAATTCAAGAACTGCTGTATCTACAAACACTGATGCAACTTGACTATTAACTTGATATAATCTTACAAATCAGGAAGGAGTCAACCTCCTTCACACAACAATAACTATTATTAGCCAACAGACTTTAAGGCTTAATAAATTAAAAAATGTAAATGTTGGCATTACTTGTTTTAAAAAGCCTCTTAAATTCTCAGTAAACATGTTTAATCTCCTGAATATTCTTCCAGAAATCCAAAAAATGGCTAATTTTCACTGTTGTTGTTGGACTGTTTGTGTCCAGCTTTAAATGTTTCCTCCAATTTTTGTCTTTTATTATAATATTTGTTTCCAGTTCCTACTTTTCTTTGACATCCGTACTGTTGCATTTTGGAATAACCCTTTTTGTAAATGACAGTCAACAATTTACTTATTTAATCAGACAGATATTAAATTAAATCATATTTTTTGCCAGACAAAGGTTTGATTTAAGTAGTACAAACAAAAAGTAAGGTATTCAAAAGTATCGAGAGTCGGCTAGAAGCCTGAAATAAAGAGCAAATGCAGAGGGTTTTGCTGAGGACCTGAAGTCACCTCACTGTACTAACAAAATAACACATCAGTCAGGAGAGAGAGAGTGAGCCCACCAGCAGCCTGTTAATCTCCCTCGTCCTCCCTCGCTGTGTGTGAGAGTTGATTTCCCAGCAGTTCTGTTTGTGTTGTGGATTATGTGGCGAACAGCAGCAGCCGTCGCTGTCAAAGACAAAAACGCTTGGCTCATGTCTGTCGGCCTGAGCTGATGTCTGTGGATCTATTCTCTGCCGGTGGCTCTTTGTAACTGGAGGTATTTAGCAGACTCATGCAGTGCGACAGCCAATCCACAGCGGTGCTCGTCTACCTTCAACTCTAAAGCTTCAGTATTGTTGCTGTGGTTGATTACTGGATGTTGTCAAAGGGGCTGTTTGACAGATATGACAGGTTAAGGTCGTACAATTAGTACAATTAACTTAATTTACTCAAGTTACCGTAACAATAAATACTTGAGTTACTCAAGTCAAACATCTTTCATGCTTAAATTGTTTGAGTTAATAAACAGTTCAAGGCGATCAGCTTTGTCCTAAAGGTGGTGCTAGAAGAACGGTAGAATTTAAAGGGTTCATCCTTTCTAAAATCCAACAGTTTAATGTTTCTCATGTTCGAGTGGATCACTTTTCTGGATGGCAACGCTCGAGATAAAGATCAGAGGATCGTCCACTGTGCACCTTGAATTTCCACAGAAACAGAAATCAAAACCATAAGTTATTATTTCTATTTTGTAGCCTTTAGTTTTACTCCAGAAAAATCTTAATGTGGAAGAACTTGACCGGCCCCTTTGGGATGAACTGGAACAAAGGCTCTAATCTGTTGGAAACCAGAAGAGTGGAGGCTGTTATAGCAGCACATTAATGAACACGGTGTCACAATCACAGCAGGCTGCAGCATTCAGCTGTCCACATACTATTGTCCATATTGTGTGTGTAGATATTCCTTTACTTTTATTTATGAGAGCAGCTT